GTTAACACATTTCTAAACTCTAAAATAAGCTAAACATTCTACATGTGTTAACGCTGTGCAGCCCCCGCTTTAATGGTTACGGAGTTAACGTCATTTTAACGAGATTAACGCTGACAGCACTAGTCAAAATATATTTAATTGCTTTAAACATTCATGACACATAATTCAGTCCAAGTAGATTAAACATGTTTATTTAATGTATGGGCAGTGTTGGGAAAGGTTACTTTTAAAATGTATTCCATTACAGATTACAGAATACATGCCCCAAAATGTATTTTGTAACGTATTCCGTTACGTTACTCAATGAGAGTAACGTATTCTGAATACTTTGGATTACTTAATATATTGTCATACTTTTTACAACTACATGAATGTGATTTATTACTGTTACTTAAGGTCCACAGCTCCGAACCGTAGTAAAGGGACCTCTGGCTAATACGTCGGGTTCCATGTCGGGCTCGTAGCCGAAAAATAGCTTTACTTTGTTGTCTGGGTCAAGTTTGCTTGCGAGAGACAGAGAGAGGTGAGAGACGGCGAGAGGCGTTGAAAGACTGCTCCAACGGAACTTATTGTTTCGGAGAAAACATGAACACGGGTACAGTCGAGTCTTAATAGCGTACTTACAACTGGGCTCGTCAGGCACTCCTCTTGGCTGCAGTGGTTATTATTATATTTCCATGCTTCCATCTCCTGTTTCTCGGTGACAGCTCATACTTTTCCACTCTCATTTTTCTCCCTCCTCAGGCTCACAGACAAATAACAGGTATGGCAGTCCCTGCAGCACGGACTACACTGCCCATGAGGCTACATTCTTTAGGGTAGCGTTCTGCCTATTGCCTTCATATTAAATCATTTTTAAAAATATTTCTTCACATCATTATGAGACACAAGATTGAGACAAAGGCATTAGAGCCTCTTAATGCGTGTTTTTTGGGGGTTTCCACTGGCGTGGAATTACCAAAAATAGAGAGGGTGTAGCCCAACATATGAAACAGGAAAATACCTCTGTGTATTATACATGTTGTGGCTAGCTCAGACAAGGAGGAGACAGAGGTGTCATTTAGTCTTGCTTCCTCGAGTTGCCAGGGAGCACAGCCGTTCATTTTCCAACAGAAACGCACGGCCGGTAACCCAACTGCTCGGCATGGCTTAGCACAGACCTTCCCAAAGTGTGGGGCCCGCCCCCGGGGGGGGCGCGCAGAGCCATTGCAGGGGGGGCGCAGAATGAAAAGGGGGGAGAAAAAAACAAAACGCTTAGACACTGCTAGCACAGGGTGCCCACAGAAACACAAAGCAGGAGATGAAGCATCGCTGAATATGTTTCCAAACCAACTTCATTCTAAGCCAAAGACTAGAAAATATGGTGAAGCATATCTGCCCTTTGGTTTCACCTGCACAAGTGCCGAGGTAGGTCTCCCCTGCAGAATTGCTTTTCCCTGTGTCAGCAGTGCTGGGCTGTTCAAATCGCGGACAAACAGGATCCTACAGTTGTTTATGTTTTTAAACCCATTTTGCACAGAGAGGTATTTTTTGAAAAATGTATTGATAGCATATTATTACACATGAAAAAAAAAACTACATGTAAAATAATTACACGTGAGGCCTCTGCCTTTCTAAATGAAGGGACAGTAACATGCCGTCTGTATGTAAGCGTGTAAAACCTGCAGATAGTCAGATTAACAGTCGTTTGTCTCTATCTGTTATTCTGCAATTCATCTCATGTAAAAAAAATAACGTGCACACAGAGTGACGTGAGAAAGGCACATACCTTTGACATTAAGTGACCAACTCTGTATTCCTCGTCCACACGTAAACGCAAAAAATGAGTTTAAAAAAATCTCCATTTTCGGTGATTCGAAACGCCGTTTATGTGTGGACGAAACAGCTGCGTTTTCAAAAATACCCGTGTAGGTGTGGACGTAGCGTAAAAGAGTTAGTAGTTTATTTTATTACTACCTGTAATTTTTTGCAGATTACCTGTATTTGCTTAATTGTTTACGAAATGTTTGAGGTGTGAAATAAACCGAAATGGAGCTAAATATGGGTGTGTGTGGTTGGAGGATGTGTTTGTGCGTGCGCGCACAAACACAAGGGGGGCCCAGCAAAAAAAAGTTTGGGAACCACTGGCTTAGCACAACAACAACAGCAACAACAAAAAGGCGCTCTCTCACCCAGGAAACACACAGTTGCAGAGAGAGCGTGTCATCCTGTAACCATGGCAACTGTAACACTGCCCCTGGAGCAACAGAACATAGCTGTCAAACAAAACCCAAACAGTCCTGACCCGCGACAATATGAAACAGGAAAATACCGCCGTGTAATCCATTTATTTCAACAAAGTAACTGTATTCTGAATACCACCTTTTTAAACGGTAACTGTAACGGAATACAGTTACTCATATTTTGTATTTTAAATACGTAACGGCGGTACATGTATTCCGTTACTCCCCAACACGGGTGGGTAACCCATTATGCAGTACTATCCATTTTATGACTGCACAGTTACTTGATTCCTTTATCGTGAAATTCTTAAGAAACCCTAAAAAACTGGTTCATCTAAATGTGAGAGATTAATTTGGTTTCACTGCTTGTGCTTTCTTTCTTTTTTGTTTGTTTACATTTTTGAAAAAATGCACAAGTGAATTTAAACCCATTATGTTACCACCAGGTATCCATTACCTGGGTCAGCTTCATGAGAACAGCTTGTTGAAGGTTGCTTTGGATCAGATCACAGAGGGACAGCTGCAGTTTGCAAGGCTGGAGCAGCACTTTGATACAGTGATCCTAGGTCAGCATGACCAGCGCAGGTAGATCAGATTTTGTTACTTGTTTCAGTATCCCTGACTTTCGTTAACTTTTTTGCCAACTTTCTATTGCAAATGAAACAAACTGGATTTCCCACCTTTAGTGCCACATCTTTCCTCACTTTCATCATAAATCTTCCAATCTCCCATCATTCTCAGGGAGTACCATGTCCATGCAGGGAAGACTGAAATGGCAGTCAGCCTGAAGAATCAGTTTCCAGGAGAAGAAGAAGCCATTGATGAATTAATGAGACTGATGAAGGTAAAAAGGGACAGAAGCAAGGGTAATCATAAGGAAGTGGATGCCTCAAAAAGAAGGGTGCGGGGATTATGCAATAGACTAGTATATTAAAATGTAAGGCATAAGCAAAAAATTTTAAAAAATCCCTCAAACATCTTGCAGCAGGAATTTTAGCTTTCCTTGTGATATCAAGACTATCACCTTGTTTTACAGGCACCGCTTCAAAGAGGATCAAATGCTTGCTTGTCCACTGGATATGTACTTCTCAAAAAAGGAACAGGAGACTCTAGGAAATCTAATTCAAACTACTATTTTTTCTGTTTTATCTGTTTCATTCAGTTCCTAACAACTTACCCTGTCCATATCAATACAAAAATCCAGCATGAGTTTTTTCCATTGAGCTCTATTTTGTTTGCAGTACTTACTTGTTTACACACATGCAACTGTATACATGTCCAACAATGTGATGAATCAGCTAAACAGAATGGGTTGTAGCTTAAAATAGTGGATACTTATAAGAAGATACAAAAATCACCAATTAACTGATCCAGTTCCAGAAATACAATCAGTATAGCAATCTGTTATCAGATGACCAGTTCTGCTCTTCCCCGATGAACTTGGGAGAATTGCTCAATAGATTTTGGCACCTTAACAGTAAAACCGTTGAACTGCACTTGTATTATAAATGGTGCCAGATAAGTAAAGCGTAGATAGGGCTCTCATTAATAAATATGACTGTGTGCTCTCTTACAGCTTGGTTCACAGAGGACGCCACTTATTGCCATGTTGAAGATCGTTCCGTACTGGTTGGTTAACTTTCTCATCCGGACTGGCCTATTACATTGGATATCTTCAGTGTTTCGTCTTGCAACAACCAGCCATTCAGAATTAATATCCCACCTCACACAGAGCAAGGACTTGCAGGCACTTTCTGCATACCTGTTCTATGGTGCTGGACACACACAAAGGCATATTGCCACTCAGATCAGACGGTACATTGTCTTCATGGTTCTGTTTCATCTTCTTCTCTTGAAGGCGTCCCTCCTAAAGACTCCAGCTTTCTCATTAATGCCCTCCTCCTTCACCACTACAAGCGTGGTGCATACTATCCACGCGGGGGCGCAAGTGAATTTGCCTTTCACATCATCCCAGTCATTCAGCAAGCAGGTGGTGCAGTCCTAGTCAGGGCTCCAGTGCAACGCATCCTTGTCAACGAACAGGGGAAGGCGTATGGTGAGTGGGACAGGGGGAGAGAAAATAACTTCATATGTCATGTTTAATTTCTTGACAAATTCTTTGAGGACAGTCTGATGGCTTGTTGTGGGTCTAGCTGAGTGTCCAAATGGACACAGCCTGAATTACTAACTTGTATGACTGCACAATGTACTCAAAGTATACTAAGTTTGCTAAATGTTTTCTGTTGCAAACTACAGCAGATCTTTTGCAATATTAAATGTCAACCTGTCAGTATATGCTATATGGGCAAAAGTACTGGGATATCTACACATTAAACCCACAGCAGCTCACCTATGGAAACTAAAGCCATGAAGCTCCTGAAGCACAGTTTCTGAGTTGATTGTAATGCCAGAAGAACTTTGCAGTGACTAATTCAGCAGAGTTTTATGCATTATTATACATCTCAGTGACCATACTCTGCAATTTATATGGTCACTTCATAGCTTAGTTACTGTAGTTCCAAAACTCCTCCACTTTGCAAAAATCCCAAGTACAGTTGATTGTGGAATATCTAGGAGGAAAGAAATTTCATGAAATGGCTTGGCATCCCATTACAGTACCATGCTCTAATTCACTGAGCTCTTCAGAACAACACATTCTTAATCCTACTGCACAAAACCGCAACAACCAGTGAGACAAACTTATTTGTCAGACCAGATTATTAAAAGTAAGGCAGTTATCTCTGTTTACTTAGTGGTTACAGATAGTAAAATGAGGTGGCAATTAGTGGCAAATGTTTTGCTGGTAGAATTTTAGTCACCTTAGATATTAGGTCATTGGTAGTAAATTTGTAATGTCATGATGGTTTTAGACTGGATAACTTTATTGATAAATTTCTTTGTCTTGAAATTAATGTCTCAGGTTATCTGAAGTTTGGATTTACTGTTTTTCCAAAGCAACTCTACATTATCTGAGAAACAGGAGCAAGTGTGATCCAATGTCCAAAAACGATATCTCCACCAAGTAATAATATCAGGATAACACTTTGTATCTTTCAGGTGTGGTGGTTCTTAAAGGACAAGAAGAGATAGAGGTTCTTGCCCCTGCTGTAATTTCAAATGCTGGAATCTTCAACACCTTCCAGAAGTTTCTACCTCACAATATACAAGAAAAACCAGGTAACAGTCGATGTGTTGCACTTGTTTTTGATTTTAATTTGATATGAGTGTCATGCATTTCCTGAAGTGTCTTTTGCCCTCTAAAGAATCTATATGTTTTCTGTTGTATAGAGATCCAGTCATTGTTGAGTATGGTACATCATGGCATGGGTTCCTTTTTGGTCTTTGTTGGTCTGGATGGAACCAAAGAGGAGCTAGGCATTGTTTCCAATAACTTCTGGATGTATAAAGACAATGACTTGGACTCACTGTAGGTTTTCCTCTCTTCTTTCATTCCTTCATCTCTTTGTAGTTTATCTTTATTTCTACTTGTAATTTCTATCTGATTTCTTCTAAAATCTAGTCAAAAATTGTATCTGGGTCTATACTTTTTTGTCATTCTAGTGTTCCATCTAAATATTTCCATGTTTATGTGTTTTATAATAATAATAATAATAATAATAATAATAATTCAACCCTATCTTATCACCATTGCAGTGTATTTAACATTTAATGGATTGAATTAACAAATTTTCTTTTGTGTCTTTGTACAAAACATTGTGTGAGAAGCATGGAGCAGTATTCATCTCTAAGCAGAGAGCAGGTTTTGGGAAACATTCCCATGATGTTTATCACTTTTCCGTCTGCTAAAGATCCAACAGCCAGCATCAGACATCCAGGTTATGCACATTTGCATGGACAAAATTCACCTGTGCATCTTTGATGCACCACTCTGACTGTTTGACAATAGTACAGTACCCTTTATTCTTCTTCCTATCTCTTCACAGGTAAGTCCTGTATGACTTTGTTAACCATGGCACGCTATGAATGGTTTGAGGAATGGGAGGGGACCAAGCTTGGGAAACGGGGACAGGACTACGTGGATCTGAAGAACAGTATGGCCCAAGAGCTGCTGGAATGGGCACTAACCATCTTCCCTCATCTGCGAGACAAGGTGTGTGTAGATACTTGTGAATGTGTTCATGGTCTGCACAGACAATGTATTCTGATTGATTCATTAATGATCTAAATTTGATTTATCACATTTAGTCAAATTATGCAATTAACTTAATCTGTTTGCAAACTAAGCTAACGTGCATTACTCAACAGTTTTCTGTTCAAAAGTTGCTTTTTAGTCAGGGTTAGTTTTTTTTTTTTAACTGTTTAGGGTTTAAAATGGACTTGTAGAGGTGCTGAAAATCACTGAAAAGGCTTGCATTTTAACCCTGTGACATCTAACCCCTCATGGGAGAATTCTCATCTATGCTTTGAAGAAATTTAAAGAAAAAAAAAAAGACTTTGCCATTGTTAGCTCCATGTTCTCAGCTCATTGTCATCCCTTTCAAGCTGGAAAGTCCAAAAATGTTCCGGCTTCCATCACTTGTCATATGTATGCTTTTGTCGTTTTACAACAGAACTGCTCTGAGTTTTTTTAATGTCCACAATTTAACTGTCAAAAAGCAACACTAACATCTCTGTATATTTCATTATCCGCTCAACTTGTACAACAACTAGTTGAAATTTCACAGTCCCAAACTCTATTGATAAATCCTCTATTAATTTACACGTGTATGTTTTTCAGGTAGTAATGGTAGATGCTGCAACCCCTCTAACAAACGTCCACTATTTGGGTGCTCCAAGAGGTGAGATGTATGGAGCTGAACACAACCTGGAGCGCTTCAAGCCAGAAGTGATTGCTAAGACACGACCACAGACTCCCATCAGCGGTCTCTATTTAACAGGTGATTCTCATTCCCCCAGCCATATCTACACTTACTAAGATTCTCACTCACACAGTGACAATAATTCATCTTTGTCACAGCCTTTTAAGAAACAAGAGAAAAATACTCCAAGAAAAGGCCATGGGTGGTAACTGGTAGTTTGTTTCTGAATGCACTTCCTTGATTCTTTGAAAAACATATGTTGTTTATTTCTTATATAAATATGAACCAAAAATCAACCAAATAATTTCTTACAACTTAGATGTAAATGAAAGTTTATTATAATTACACTTTTAATATATATAATTATTTAATATAATTCCACAAGTTCAAAAAGTGGTTAAAAAAAAAGGCCGTTTAAAACCCTCCTGTCGTCTTACTGGACCTTTGATAAACAAAATAGATTTCCACCGCACCCCACAGTGTTCTCTTAAGCTCTTAATTAATGGGAGGTTCCAAAAGTTACCACAGTAATGAAAATTTTTCCAAAATTAAAAATGTAATTACAGATTTAAAAAGCAAACTAGCTTAAGTATATTCTTACTATAACAATAATGGCTAAAAAAGTATGATTCCCAAGAATTTAACAAAAATGGCCCCAACAATCTTACTCTACAAACTCACCCATATGGAAAAGAAATAGTAAAAACTTACATGATTTACTCATGAAAGTGGCCACTTTCTCATTACTTTCATATATTGTTTTAGTAAGTATCCAAAACATACAAGTTTCATTATATAATTTTTCAAGGGATCTTATATCTGTTTTCACTCTTGTATACTTTTCATACAAGTTTCACACAAGACAGATACAAACTTTATAAGATTTATATATAGCTTTTCCATATGGGCAACTACAAACTAGTTCTTTAAGTATATGCAAACTCTAAGTGCAATGATTTCCTGATGTTTCTGTGTGTGTTCAGGTCAGGACGTATTTTGCAATGGCATGGCTGGAGCTCTTCACGGTGGACTGCTTTGTGCGTCAGCTGTCCTCAATCAGATCCTCTACATTGACCTTCTAGCCCTGAAGACCCGCCTCAAACGTAATCAGAGTAGTCACAAATTAACCTGGTAGCTGTGGTGGAGTCTGTGTTCTTCTCGAGTACATAAAATTTCACGTCTCGAGATAAGATTTAATGCTTTTTATGATATATATCTTTGGATAGTTTCCAGTCATGCTGTAAGGTCAGCTGAATTAAATGTGTAAACAAATGTGTGAGTGATGAATACAAATCTGCACGTCCACCACAATAACTGCTTCTGCTGTAGCTGTTCTTGGATTCTTTAAAAGTGATAAAGACATTTTAAACCTGCTGCCAAATGTCACCTTCATTCACTTTTCATTGAGCTTTCATTTAAAGAAAACCTCACCAGTTGCATGTGAGATGCCTGCAATAAACCATTACAGTGATACCTTTAATAAACAATTAAGCTATTCATTTACAAGTCTTTTTATTGACATGCTGCAGCTTCCCGGGAATCACCAGATTTTTCCGACCACTCCCTTTAGGGGTCACCACAGTTGATCTATTCTAGCATCCTCTTCTGAAACATTAATCTTCTGCATGTCCTCCTTTACTACACCCATGAATCTTCTCTGTGGTCTTTACCTGAAAACTTCACATTCAGAATCTGTTGTCCAGACTATCTCAACCTCTCCTCTCCAACTTTATCTCCAAACCACAAAACTAGAGCTGCTCCTTCAATACTAATTTTTTATCCATCCTGGTCACTCATCATATTATCCTCGTGGGACAAATCAAATCTACAGCCCGCACTATAAGTTTATGTACTTGAATTGGAAGGGGTAAAAAACACAATAAGGTTGATGGCAATAAGAACATTAATGCCACAGAGCCATTAATCAAGTTATTAGCACCACATGTTATTAGAACCACATTTTAATGGTGCCACATGCCCCCATGTGGCACCATTAAAAGGATATTGAATTAATTATTAGCAATTCAGGTTTGTAATGTACCTCAATTATCAATGTCAGAGTGTAGAAAACCCTAAAACATCCTGGGATCTTGAGGGGATTGCTGTTGGAGCTATATAAAAGTGAATTGATTTAAACTGAAAGAGCTTGCAGTCATATTACATATATCTACTAATATTTGTAAAATACAACAAGCACATTAACCAATAATTTTCTATAATAAGGGCACAGCTGTTAATACAGCTACATGACAATGCGTAAAGGGTACAAACAAACACACAGAGAGATGCATAAATTGCTGGTTTTACCAATTTATTTAACATTTTACAGATCTGTGTTCAGTGCAGGTTTTCCAAGAAGCCAGAGAAGCATCATTCAAAGCAAATATCAGTGATTAACCACATGAAGCTGAACAATCAAACTAGCTTAGACAACTAGCACAAAATCACTCTGAAAAAGTAGATTTACCACTGGAAAGTTATTTGCAGTTTTTCTTTACTTGCACCTTAACTGAAGCTGTGATGCCTTTTGACATTGTGGCCATGATGGTAACACTTTCACTTTTGTATGTGAGATTGGGACCTTTGGCTGGGCGTCTGACAAATGTTGTGCCTGAGTTTTTGGACATCTCATGAAAGAGATCTCGGTTACACTCTGTGCCAATATCAAAGACTCCCAATCCACATTGATTTGGCTTCTGTTTTAATGGCACCTTGAACATGATGGCAATTTTTGCAGCTGCCTCTTTGGAAGAACTATTGCAAAGATCATAAGTGATGATGCTCACTGCTCCTTCAAGTCTGGATGGACGCTTGACAAACTGAGCCTCCCCTTCAGCAGATAGTTGAATGGTAGGTGGGAAGGGAATGGCGTAGCATCCACTCTTTGTGTGCACACTACACAGGAAAATACATCTCCATGAGAACATGTTTTAAAAATAGGGCAATATTTGAAGTCCAGCACTTTTTAACAACTCACCAGGGGTTACAAAGAGAATAAGTGGAACACTCATTCTTTATCTGTACAGTGCATGCACGATCTGTTGGCAGTGCCCCGGCAATACCTTGACCAATGCCAAACACATTCCCGATAATATCTGGTGCATCTACGACATTTTCCATCTCTGCAGTTTACCTGGTCAAAAAAAAAAATCCTTCACTTATAATTTTCTTCCTAATTGACAGTGTAAGACTGAGTTCATAGTCCATTGCCTTTAATACACTACTTTAAGCAGATGATGACTTTAGATGAGTGTTAATGAATATATTTATATCATTTTACACTTTGTACTGCGAGAGAGTGCGAGCATCCAGCAAGCTTATAACATCCTTGGCACTTCCAGTAATAATCTCTGATTGTTTGTTAATAATCAGAGATCATTACTGCATTATTATTAGCACATACTTTAAGCAGTGATGTTTAGCTTGCATGTGAGCTACCTGGTAGCATACCATTTGACAGGACAAAACAATGACTACCATCTAATAAATAAGGACACGGAAAAAGCCTGCAAGGCGAGTTATAGCAGTAACATGATTCACCATCTGGAGCAAAGCCAACTGTCAACATATGGATAAACAATAGAAGGTCTACAAAATGAATCAAAGCTTACTGAGAACTTATTCATTGATTTAATATGTAATCTGCAGGAACTTGAACTCATACAGAAACATTTCTATCTTGCACGTCATTTTTATTTTTAGGTAAATGTTTTTCTGTTTCCTGCAAGAAAAATGTGTTTGTTAAATTCCAGTACATAATACTGTACAAGTACAAGTAAAATTTCCTTCTACAGTTCCCACATCCTAAACACATGACAAATAACCTTTATAACTTAAGAGGTATCTCGGGGTCTTGTTCGCGAGTGATGGGAGAAGGGAGCCGGAGATCGACAGACGGATTGGGGCTGCAGCTGCAGTAATGCGGACGCTGCACCGGTCCGTCGTGGTGAAGAGGGAGCTGAGTGTAAAAGCGAAGCTCTCAATTTACCGGTCGATCTACGTCCCTACCCTCACCTATGGCCACGAGCTGTGGGTAGTGACCGAAAGAACGAGATCGCGGATACAAGCGGCAGAAATGAGCTTCCTCCGAAGGGTGGCTGGCCTCTCCCTTAGAGATAGGGTGAGAAGTTCGGCCATCCGGGAGGGGCTCAGAGTAGAGCAGCTGCTGCTCCACATCGAAAGGAGCCAGCTGAGGTGGTTCGGGCATCTGACAAGGATGCCCCCTGGGCGCCTCCTGGGTGAGGTGTTCCAGGCATGTCCCACCGGGAGGAGGCCCCGGGGCAGACCCAGGACACGCTGGAGAGATTATATCTCTCGGCTGGCCTGGGAACGCCTTGGTATTCCCCCGGACAAGCTGGAGGAGGTGGCTGGGGAGAGGGAGGTCTGGGCCTCTTTGCTTAGGCTGCTGCCCCCGCGACCCGACCCCGGACAAAGCTGGATGGAGGAGGATGGATGGATGGAACTTAAGAGGTAATGCTTTTTTTTTTTTTTGCCTTGAACATGAGTAATTGTCTGTAATGTTCTCTATATTTAACATTATGAACCATTCATACCATTTTCTACTGTAGCAAGCATAGGGGTTTTATATTACTCGCATATGTATTCTCCCACACTTCAGCACAATAACTGAGATAGTAGAAAATTAGTGAGAAATATAAAATACATATTAATCTATACCTATACCTAAAATATAAATATTTTTAACCATCTTTTTTCTAACATGTTAAATATGAGATTTACATATTTGCAAAATACAGAAACAATGGTGATAAAGTTGAACAGTATAAAATGATTAATAAATAGCTGTATGCATGTTCAAAGTCTTTTTTATTATTTTATGTATAAAATATAAGAATTTTTAAATATCACAACTTTCAGATAACACATAACTGTTTGGTGACGGTTGTAGGAGTAGTAGTAGCCATAGTCATATAGGCTATTTACTATACACAGTATGGACACAGTAACCTAATTAAAATTGATGATGATTTTGAGCTGTTGTTCTGGACTGGTTTGTGTCTTCATTCTCCCATTTTCCCTCTTTGTGTGCGGACGTGTATGTGCTGGCCTATGCACATTGTCGGGAACAGTGGAGTTTCCCACCTTCAGGCTAACACATGTGCTGAGAATGACACGCCTGTTCTGGATAATCTCATTTGGGCAGCTTCATAAGGAAGCTGAGGCGCTCCTCCTACTTTTCTTATTGTTTGCATTTATTGCAAAGTTTTGCGGAGACTTGAACTTCCAGCTGCTTTGACATTTTGGTTTAACCAAAAAAAAACAAAACTGTGTTTTCACTAGTAAAGGCCAAATGAAGCTTTCTGAAGCACTGAAGCATGTATCAAAAAAAAGGGATCATTAGTCATTCATTACATTTAAACGCAGTCCTCTTTTGTTGGCTAAAAACTGAAAAGCAGCTAAATTCTACAAATTAAAATGAACGGCTTTATTATCATTAATGTCATGTGACGATTTTGTGTGAAATTAGGCCACAATTGTGGTTCTTTGAATGTGTATTTGTAGGGGTGAAGAAAAGCAATGTTATGTCTGTGTGATTACTAAAGAATTTTGATGAATAAACCATCCTTGTTTACACATGTGCCATAGTGTGTGCTCCCTTTGCTTGTGACTTCTGAACATTTATAAACTTCATAGATAAAAATACATTATATATAAAAATATATAAGACGCTGTTTTAAAAGGCTGGGAGTAATGCTTATGCTTACATGCTGTGTAACTGATCAGTGGACATGTTCATTTATATATAATATATTATAGCTTATAGGTATGATTTTACCCTGGGGTAGAATTGCTTATAAACAGATAAAATAAAAACATTACACTTAAATTATTGTATTTGTTTTTTATTTAGGAATAGGCAGAGCATCCTCTCTTCCTCACGGGCTCCATGACTCATTATATCGCACACTGGTTCACTATTTTCGCGCATCACGCCACAAATCCTGGCAGTGATTTACTTCTGTATAAACCACTGAATCAGGTACCGAAGCAATGATGTACTGAATGAAGCTCGGATGTGCCTGATCACGTGACTCTGACCAGATGAACCAAGCCTCGACACAGTGCTCCTGAAGCACTGTCTTGTTTTTATTGACATTATTACACAGCAGTGGGGAGTAGACTTTATCACAGCAGATGTCTTTCTGAAAGCGCTGTAACTAAGTTTAAGAATATAATCCACCCACTGTTATCATCTTCAATGCCCTGTACCAACATAGAGCAGAGCAGCTATCTGAACGCTACCCCAACAGAGGTCGATTATCTTGTTAATAATTTTACCTCCTCACTACGTACGACTCTGGATACTGTAGCTCCTGTGAAAACTAAGGTCTCAAATCAGAAGTACCTGACTCCGTGGTATAATTCTCAAACACGTACCCTAAAGCAGATGACTCGTAAGCTGGAGAGGAAATGGCGTGTCACAAATTTAGAGGATCATCATTTAGCCTGGAGAAATAGTTTGCTGCTTTATAAGAAAGCCCTCCGCAAAGCCAGAACATCTTACTATTCATCACTGATTGAAGAAAATAAGAACAACCCCAGGTTTCTCTTCAGCACTGTAGCCAGGCTGACAAAAAGTCAGAGCTCTTTTGAGCCAACCATCCCTTTAACGTTAACTAGTAATGACTTCATGAACTTCTTCACAAATAAAATTTTTATCATTAGAGAAAAAATTACCAATAATCATCCCACAGATGTAATATTATCTACAGCTACTCTTAGTACCATTGATGTTCAGTCCTGCCATTAATTAATGCTTCAATCTTAAATATGATCAACTTATCTCTAATAATCGGCTATGTACCACTCTTACTCTGGATGGCATTACCTTGGCCTCCAGTAACACTGTGAGGAACCTTGGAGTCATTTTTGACCAGGACATGTCCTTCAACGCACATATTAAACAAATATGTAAGACTGCTTTCTTCCATTTGCGCAACATCTCTAAAGTTAGAAATATCCTGTCTCAGAGTGACGCTGAAAAACTAGTTCATGCATTTATTACTTCCAGGCTGGACGACTGTAATTCATTATTATCAGGATGTCCTAAAAACTCCTGAAAAGCCTTCAGCTAATCCAAAATGCTGCAGCAAGAGTCCTGACAGGGACTAGAAAGAGAGAGCATGATTTCTCCTGTTTTGGCTTCCCTTCATTGGCTTCCTGTTAAATCCAGAATTGAATTCAAAATCCTGCTCCTCACATACAAGGTCTTAAATAATCAGGCCCCATCTTATCTTAATGACCTTGTAGTACCATATCACCCTATTAGAGCACTTCGCTCTCGCTCTGCAGGCCTACTTGTTGTTCCTAGAGTATTTAAAAGTAGAATGGGAGGGAGAGCCTTCAGTTTTCAGGCCCCTCTTCTGTGGAACCAGCTTCCAGTTTGGATTCAGGAGACAGACACTATCTCTACTTTCAAGATTAGGCTTAAACTTTCCTTTTTGCTAAAGCATATAGTTAGGGCTGGTATTTTAATGCCCGGCTGAGATAAAAGATACGGTCTCCACTCCAGCTCCAGTCACACTGCTTAACCCACCTGTTCCACAGAACCTGGTACAAACTTTTGGCTTGGACAACTCGTTACAACCTTCCAAGACGCTGGAGAGGTCACTCCCTATACCAGAAGTTTTTTAAGATGAGTTGAATAAAACTGTTGGTTTCCTAATGCAATGTTCTTTGGTGTTCCTTCAGCGGAGTCTCAGCTAGGGTCTGAGATTGGCTTCATGATGACCTTGCTTCATGGGAGAGCACTAAAGTGGGGACAGGCAGTAGTCAGTGTCGGGTGTGTTATCAACACACCCGACACTGACTTTCAATGAATTCATCAATAAAATAAAAATGTGTTCAAGGACTCTCATCCTTCTCCACCTCAGCTCAACCCCACCACAGTGAGTAAAAAGGACTTCAATCTGAGCTGGTCATCTCAAGCCAGTTCATTCTAAGACTGTTGATTGTTATAAAGTGTGACTGTTCGAATTCTCTTTGCAATATTGTTGGGTTTCAGTACAATACAATATAAAGAACTTTAAGTTGACCGCTGTTGTGATTTGGCACTATATAAATAAAAGTGAAGTGAATTGAATTAAAAGAGTTTACAGTCATATATCTACTGATATTTCTAATGAACAGTAACTACAATAACATTAACCTATACTTTTCTATAATAAAGGTATTCTTGTTTATTAGATCTACATGACAACATGTAAACAGTACAGAAACTTAACCAAACAAAGCAGTCACAACTTAACTCACAAACTGATCTAAAGACAAAGGCACAACCTTTATAGTGGTTTGGCCAAACCATTTACACACAATAGGGGGAAACAAAAAAGAAACACCACTACTAACTAAACAAAAAATAACGTAACAAAACCAAAAATACCCCTGTTTCTGACAAGCACTTGGTTGGTACAGCTGAGCAGGCATTATTGTGTTTTTCTCAGCCCTCGGCCACGCCTTTTGCGTGAAATGAGAAACAGCCACCTCCCCAAATCGGTTACTTAAAGAAAGAGAAACATAATTATTATAACAGAATACATTTTTTAAAACCACACAATGATGGTTTGTGTGCTTAATGCAAGGTGTGCTGCAGTCTGATATTGTGGCCATGATGGAACACTTTTGTGTTTGTTGCGCACTCTTTGTTGCGCACACTACACGGGAAAATGCATCTCCACGAGAACATGTTTTAATAATAGTACAATATTTGAAGTACAGCACTTTTTATAATTTTAACAACTCACCAGGGGTCACACAGGGAATAAGTGGAACACTCATTCTTTATGTTCACACTGCATGTGCACATAAAGTAAGTGCATTGAAAACATCATAAAATGATTTTTCCAGAACAACGTTTGAAATATCTATTGGAATATTTATGTCCGGCATCTTCCAAGTATGTGCTCAAAGTTTTACAAAAGTTTTTCATTGTACTTCAGTCATTTTATTTTTCAGAGTCACTGCAGTGCAGAACAATTTCTCTCTAGTATTTCTGTGTTTCCTGCACTGCAAGTTAAATTCCAGTAAAAGATTACTTGTAATGATTACAAGACTTGTATTATTATTATTAAATGAACGTTAACATGATGAGGAATCCAGAGCCATGTCTAATTGTATGTCAGTTGAATTACAGTGTAGATATTTTTTTCTACACTGGCGGTTTTTACAAATATCAGTGGAATTGTGAAAGACATTGAAAGATATAAGGTTGTTTTCAAAGAGCTCATATCTTAGCATCCATCCTTTACATTACTGCCATCTTGTGGCTTGCTATTGTCTTTGTAACCAGAATTAACACTAAAAATGGCGCCAATGGAATTTCTTTTAACCCTACCATGTCATCAAAGTAGCAAAAGAGGGCAACAAATGTCTTTTTTAAAAACTGACCAATATGATTTGGTATGAAAAGCGTACTTCAGACTGAGAGTATGAGAAATAAAAATGGGGAGGAACTGACCACTGTAACAAACATGAAAAATTATTTCATTTTAAGAATAGCATAGTATGAAGTCTGTAGGTTTTACTACTGTGAAATATCATGCCAAAGAAAGAGCCATAAAAATCTAGGTAAGCAACAGGAAAGTCAGTAACCAGAACTCAATGGATGGATGTAGCTTCCAGATCTGAATAGTGAATGTGTTTTTTTCTAATGACCAACAGTGGGCATCGATTCTGGTTTCGCAGGTTGTGTACTGTATGACGTCAAGAGATAGTTTCCTGATAACTGGCTCTGTTGCTGGTGTTACCTCTTATTGAATGGGACATTAATTTTATTTTGTAAATTATGATATTTATTTGATGTCACAAAGATGGCTAAACCAGAGTACATTCACTGGCTAATGGCTTGTCAGCCATAAAGAACAAAGAGCATGAGGTGTCACACTGAGATCAAGTCCATTTTCAGAAAACCAACTAGTAGCTTCACAACAGGACTTCACCAACTTAGGGTAATATCACAGGGATGACAGAACTCTTTTAAACACAGACTCACTGGTTAAAGGATTGACTAATAAATCCTTCTGTCTTACAACCACAGGAATCTCCCCCTGCTGGCCTTTATCCTGGCTTAAGGCATTTGATGGTTTCGCTATTCTGGCATCAATATTTTTCACGGTTTACACATACTTTTAAGTGGTTTGGAATACAAAAATTAATAATTTGGATGTTGGGATATTTTAAATACATGAAAAAAATGTCATGATCGCTGCGTGGCAGGCAGGATAAGGACCCAATCGCAAAACTCACAGACTCAGGGGATGAACTCAAAAAACAGCTTTATTGCTGAAGAGGCAGAACGTAGGAAAATACAAAACTAAACTGGGAAAAGTAAACTAACACTCGGAGAGAGAGACACAGGGAAATCCACGCAGCATGAGGGAGAACGCGACGCCGAACAGAGGGAGACGCAGACAGAAATACACAGAGGGTTAACGAGGAAAGTGGGAACACACGGGGAACACAGGTGACACTGATAATCATAACGAGACAGGGCGGGGTGAACTGAACATGACATGTACAGGCGTGAGAGTCACAAAGTAAACAGGAAGTGCACAGAGGTTCAGACAGGAGGAGAGAGAGCACGGGGAAAACACAGACATAACGGGCTGGGGAAACATGAAACAACCACAAAGGGAGACGAGGGCTCATAAATACACAGAGGGCACACAGGGGGGGAGAGAGAGCACGGGGAGAACTTAGACGTAATGGGCAGGGGAAACATGGAATAAAACATAAGGAGAGACGAGGGCTCACAGATACACAGAGGGGCACACAGGGGGTAAAAGCCATGAAGGGAAAGCACTTAGGGAACAACACAACAGGGCAACTCAGAAAACATGGCCTAAATAAGGAACAAAATACAAACATACAAGAAAACTAAGAACAAAGGGCCAACATGGCCCAGGACCATGACAAAAAAAGTATTTTAACACAAATATACTTTTATTATGAAATGCTCATTTCTTATCTGCCGGACGAACTGCTTGAAAAATATCACTTCCACTTCCGGTGTGTGCGTGAGAGGCGGAACAAGCGGCCCTACAGAGGGAACAAAGGACGGTTAAGTGAATTGCTGTATGTTGTTCCCAGCATGTGTGTATATATAAATATATGCACGTATTTATATTTTAAAAAGTGTCACTGTTGCATTTTGTAACTTCGGGGAAGAAGCGGGAAAACGTTTTCATGTGCCAGAGGAAACTTGGGCTGGTTGATTAATTGATGTTGGTTGATAGCGGGAGCTGGTGACTTCTTCGTTAACCTAGCTTTAACAGCAAGGCTTATACTGACGTCGCTTAAGCGTTTTGCTCTTTAAAAGTGTCACATAGTTTTGAATGAAAGCATATTCGCGTTTGCTTACTTTTATTGTTTGGACCTAGAGCCATTAAATTCGATGGATAACTCGTATGAATATGGGACAAAGAGGTTTTGGTGTCGGCGAGTTTAGCTAGTAGGCCTTGTAAGCTAATGCTAACCCGTTTAACCCAGTCAGCCATTGTTGTTGTTATCCGCTCATTTACCGGTGCCTTTTTCTTCTTCCTCGTTCTACGCCGAAACTACAAAGTGGACTGTAGTTGAGTTCCTTTCTCTTTATGTTTCCCTCTTCAGCTTAACCAGCATGAAAATAGCCTCCATTCCATAGGCCGCTCCTCAGCTGCGATGTCAAGTAAGTAAATAAATCAGTCATTGATATCCTTTATATGCCAACACCTGTCTCATTCTATGGTTCATATATATATGCGACCAGTACACTGGGGAAAAGATGTAGGAATACTATTTCATTAAGTAAGGGACTCAGATAACATAAAGCACATTTTTGCGCTGTTTTTGCACATAGGATGCCGTCATGCAGAATTTTATGCTTTAGGTTGCCATGCTTCATAGTGTCATGCTGTCTAGATCGGTGGGCTTTTCAATAAAAACAGCATTGAAGAGTGTGTACAGTTGCACTATTTCTCATAGAATCAGATTTGTGTCCTATATGTACTATCTGCCTCTTTAGTCAGTTCCTCGTGTTTTGTATAGACTCAAAGTCAACTGATTCAAACTGGAGATAGTGATGGTAGCCTTTGTTTTGCTCTGCGGTCACATTGAGTTTGACGTTGCAGTGAAATGAGGACTCTGGACTTGAAATGCAGAACACAGTGGTGGAGTTTGAAAATGTACAACTGACAGTTAAGACCCAGAAGAGCATCAGAGTAACACTCAGGACCAGCACAGGCTGGTCGATAAAGTGAAATGCTACAGATCTAGTTTTTTGGCATTAATGGAAATGTAAAAATAAGGAATTGTCTATGGCTGAAAACTGAAAGTAATACTGAATTGCAAAATGTACCTGGGTGACAGCAGCAGTCAGTTGGATTACCTCATATAGAAGTGCATCTCTTTTCAGACATTCATGATGCAGAGGAGTGAAAAATGGGGCTGAAGTACTTTCACAGTAGACAGTTAGGAAGAACCCTCACTGTTCACACTCAAGTGGTATTATTGTCAGGCAAAAGTAAACAGCAGGGAAAACATGTCATTTGTACAGAGCAGGTATGCAAGCGTTGACTAACATTTTTTTTTCTTTTTCTCTCTTTTTTTTTTTTTAAACTTTGAACAGAACGACCATCCTACGCTCCTCCCCCTCCCCCTGCCCCAACAACAGTAAGTGTCCCACTTTTAGCACCAGTCTTAGTGTTCATGGTTTAGCAGCCAAGGGCCATGTTATTTTTTTGCTTCTTTTCTTTGTTACTTTCCTTTAAATCTTTAATGTGTGAACGTGCCAAGGTTGCCACAAACCTTGTTCTTCAGTTCTCTATCATCGCTTTCACCCCTTTTTCCTGTCATGCCACACGTTTTTTTTTTTTAGGTCTTGCACCAAAGGTGTTTGAGATTACTGATGGGGATCAAGTTTGTTATTTGACTGAAGAGCTTTGCAGAATCTACCTTGGCTGATGTTATTAGTAGACATATGTGAAGTAACAGAATACATGCTTGTTTTGATGCTTTTCATTTCCTTACATTCAGATGCAGTGCAAAGCACTGTGTAGAGCTGAAATCTGCTGATACACACTCAGTTAAATAAGTTTGTTGTGCACTAATTCTTAATGCCATCCAGTTGCCTTTTTTGCCTTGCATGATAAGATCATGGAACAAACAAATCAAAAAGTCAACATATATATATCTATATATACATGTATTTTCATGTTTCCCCCTCCTTTTCACTTATTTATGTTTATCCCTCTTCCTCCTCTTGTGTGTGAGCCATTTCTCATTCGTGTTTTGTCTCATTTGTCTTCCATCAGCAAATGCCTTCCACCCCAGGGTTTGTGGGCTACAACCCTTACAGCCATCTGGCCTACAACAACCTCCGACTGGGAGGGAGCTCCGGAGGCTCCAGCAGGGTAATGAATTGATGGAGCGATTTGAAAAACAAATTAAATGTAACAGAAAGTGTAAAGCACAAGTAAATGTTTTGGATTGAGTAAAGGGCCCAGGTATGAGAAGAATGATAGGATTGTAAGAAAGGCTTAGACTGTATATTGAAGTGGGGAAACTGAATATATGACTTGCAGCTTTAAAGAGCTTCAGTTGCGTGCATAAATGTGTGTTGAAAAAACAAATTAATGCATTAAAAAAAAAAGTAAGATGTGATGTCAGTTGGAACGTAACATTTGATGACAGCTCTGCTTTTGAAAAAAAATATAAACGGAATAAGATTTATTTTCATATTGACCTGGTGGGGGGGGGGATAAAACGTTTTCAATGTGACCAATCCGGCCTTAACAGTTCCTGCACTGCAGTTAGCAGTAATCAAGTCAGATAGACAGTATATCTGCTCTTGTCGGACTAGAACACAAGCCTTCCTGTGGGTGTGCATGGTGGCATAGGCAAAACACTACCTTTGTGGTGAATGTGTTCCTTTATTGTTTGAATTATCTTCAAAAGATGTTTTGCCCTTGCCAAATTAGCCAAACGTTGCTAGTTCTTTCAGCACAACCTAAAACCGAATCTGAGATAACTTGTATCATAACAGTAGTTGCCAGCCTTTTGTTAAACAAGGTTTTTTCCTTCAGGCTCTGAGTGCACTTGCATAAAACAAGATATATTACAGCAGAACAAAACACAGAGAAAGCAATGCTACAGGAAACTGTTCACTTTGAAAATTTATTTATTTTCCCACTCATTGTGCACTCAGTCAGTGGTGCTGTTTTCTAACATGAACACACATCAGAGCTGGCAGCTTGATTTGTTCACACGTAATCCTCTAGAATTCCAATCCCAAAATAAAGACAATGTTGGAATTTCATTTTTTTTGTAACAAAATCAAAGTGAACAGCCAAAACAAAAAAAAACATTTTCTGCATCACCAGTTAGGGGGTGATAGTAATGTAAATGAGCAGCCTGTGAAACATCTAAACATCATTTGCCTTACAGAGATGCTCTGAAACACTTAAAGCCATTCTTTGGCTTGTAGAACATCTTAACACATCAAAATTGTTTTTATCTGACTGTATGAAAGCATTAAGGAACATTTCAGTATTGTGTATTGTCATGTTTACATTCACATCTGTTGTTTTACCTTTTCCACAAACCATATCAGACCATAATCAGCAGATGTTTTATGATAGTTTTTGTTTTTTCTGTTCACTCTCTAAACCTGGCCCTTGTTTGTTTGTTTCCCTTTGGCTTCATACCTTCCATCTCTCCATTCATACTTTTTCCTCCTTCTTCTTTGTGCCCCCTCTCTCCTTCTTTCCACAGAACTCCTCGGGCATCACCGTCCCAAAGCCTCCCAAACCACCAGACAAGCCACTGATGCCATACATGCGGTACAGCCGGAAGGTAAGCAGGAAGGTAAGACACCCATCCACGGTGTCTGCTTTTACTGCTTGTCCTCCCATCCCCCTGAAAAGCTGGCAGGGGTTTGAGGGTGGGAAACAGCCAAGCCATGACGCCTCACCACCACCTCAGCCACCTAGTGGAGGCTCTCCACTTTGTTTCCGTTGACTCACAGTAGCCTTCTGTGTTTGTCAACATGCAAAATTGCTACATCTCCATATGTTTCCTCTTACGGGGATAATCTGTCCCTGGCACTCTATTTTTCCCCCTTATAGGCTCATCTCTTGCCTGCTTTTCTCTAGTTTCAGAGCTGTAATTTTAACACTGTATGCTCAAAAACAAAATGTGATCTAAAGGATCCTGCATTTAGAAAAAAATTGAATTCCATATATAAGTGAATATTTTCCATCATGCTTTCTTGCAGCACTTAAGTAGTTATGCTTTTCCTTACTAATAATTTCATCCGCTGTTTCTTACCTCTGTACTTTGCTTCCCGTATTTCCTTTGTATTGTAACAGTCAATGTCATTTGATCCTGCCTGTGTGTGTGTGTGTGTGTGTGTGTGCGTGCGTTGGTTTTGTGTGTGTGTGTGTGTGTGTGTGTGTGTGTGTTGATGTGAATATGAAAGGTATGGGACCAAGTAAAGGCTTCCAACCCAGATCTAAAGCTGTGGGAGATTGGAAAGATTATTGGGGGCATGTGGAGGGACCTGAGTGATGAAGAGAAGCAGGACTACCTTAATGAGTACGAGGCTGAGAAGGTAAGGAGGAGCAAGAGTCTAAGGCTACGTTCACACTGCAGGCGAAAGCGCATCAAATCTGACTTTTTTGACCCTATGCAACCCATATCCGATCATGGTATGCCAGCGTGAACAGCACAAATCCGATCTGGGTCACTTTCGTATGTGGTACTGAATCCGATACATATCTGATGTTTTAGAAAGCGACTGTTGTTTGAACGGTCATGTCACATTAAATCAGTCTTTTGCATCACTGACACAAGACAGACGCCAATTATCAGCGCCGAAGACGTGCCCGAGAAGACATCGTGAATGCTTCCTGGTCATCCAGTGTAGATGTTAGTGAAACTGTTGGGAAGACAACGTTGGAGAAACGTGAACATTTTATTTGTACTGTATAATCTGCAGATTCTGACAGAAATCTGCAGCTATCCTTTGAAGCACCGCTCCTCTCTTAAACAGCAATAAGGGTCATCATTAGGCCATATGTAAATAACAAAATAACTTTATAACTTAAAGCAAAATTGGGAAACGTAAAGTCCGAAGCAAGTCTTTATGTTAAGGGCCATCAGTCAAACAATACTGTTTGGTCTGGGTCTAAACAGCGCGCGTTGTGTGTGACGTCTTCTTTTGCGCATGCGGCCGCTTTGAGGGTTCACACTAGAGCGCGTTTGCTGTCACATTTTATTTGTAGTGTGAACAAGCAGACAAGAAAATCGGAACTGAGCATTAAGACCTGCAGTGTGAACGTAGCCTAAATTTCTTTTGTAAGTAACCCGTTGCTCTTGGATACCTTCTTTACATGTTGGCAGTTCAACAGCAGTTGTAGAAGTGACAACTAAAGAATCCCTGCATTGAAAAATAAGAAATGATCAGAGTTGTTTTAAAGGGCTTGTTTTCTTTTCCTGTCCCTCTTCCTCTTAGATTGAGTACAATGATTCTTTGAAGGCCTACCACAACTCACCTGCCTACTTGGCCTACATCAACGCCAAGAACCGGGCTGAGGCGGCAATGGAGGAGGAGAGCAGGCAGAGGCAGTCACGTATGGACAAAGGAGAGCCGTACATGAGCATTCAGCCTGCTGAAGATCCTGATGGTAGGTTAATTATGAAGATATCTATGATTTTTAATGTAATGCGCTTAAAATAAACACTGACCTGTCTGTCTGTCCTCGTCATGGTTCTGCCCATCTTGTCTTTTCGCTCCACCTAGATTATGATGATGGTTTCTCAGTGAAGCACACAGCAGCAGCTCGCTTCCAGAGAAACCACCGGCTCATTAGTGACATCCTCAGTGAGATTGTGGTGCCCGACGTCCGCTCTGTGGTCACCACAGCCCGCATGCAGGTCCTCAAGAGGCAGGTTCAGTCTCTTATGGTGCACCAGGTATGTTAGCAGGACATTTTTGCTTCTATTTTGTTACTTTGTTTTTTAGCTCGTAAAGCTAATGTGGTGTTAATATTACTCAAACTGACTTCAAAAGCATTGTTTACACTTTAATATAAATGTGCATTCCTCAAATGGGATTGGCTTCCTTGTGACAAGATTTTTGCTTACAACCAAAAGTAGTTGCACTACTTTTATAAACTGTTTCACATTTAAAAGGAAGGATCTATTCCTGCTGATTGATTGCTTGTGATTTCAGAGGAAACTTGAAGCTGAACTTCTTCAGATCGAGGACCGCCATCAAGACAAGAAAAGACGTTTTCTTGAGACCACTGACTCATTCAACACTGAGCTGAAGCGGGTAAAGCAGCACTGTTTATTTACCTAGATAGAGCTGAGTGTGTAGGAAGGAAGAGCTTTATTTCTAGATGACTAAACATCCCTTTAGATAGAAATTTGTCACCACAGACTGTTATGTGTTGTAAGTGTAGGCCTACTACTTTCCCTTTGCCTTCAGTCTTATGACATTTGCAACTTTTTAAATTCATTTTGTTTAATTGAGAGTCTTGTGTGTTTCCAGCTGTGCAGTCAGAAGGTGGAAGTGGATATGGAGAAACTAGCAGCAGAGATGGCTGCCGCTGAAGAGGCAGCAAGGCGCCGGGCAGAGGAGCGGGAGCGGGAGGCCGCTGAGCAGGCAGAGAAAGCTGCTCAACAGCAACAGGAGGCTGCTGGAAACAAAGCTGCAGAGAAGAGCAGCACTAATGCTAGCCCCACCTCAGGGACCAAGGAGGAGGACAAACCTACACCAATGGAGACAGGTACCAGTGGGGGGGACACAAAGACATATACACAGGGGTTGGGGGTGGGGAGAGTGTCTGGTTGGTGAGTCTATCCTTGGGTGCTTCATTCTGCAAGCCAAACATCCTTGGGAAAAATACAATCCCCAAGATTCATCCATCAATGTGTGAGAATTTTTGAAAATATTTAAATATAGATGGAAAGTGCTTGTGTGAATAAGGCATGTTGGATAAAACGCTTTAAATCTTAAAACTTGTTTGTATTTAAGTACAATCATAATCCACCTGATAGCCACTGGGTTGATGGAGGTTCAAAGCAGTTTCACTGTATATAGATAGGTTTGGTCAGTGGAGTTAATTTTTTCTTTAACTGTTTTATTAATTTTGCAGAGCTCACAAGTAGCAATGAACATTTAAATCAGATTTACTGGGACGTTACCCAGTTATGACTCCGCACCTTTGATGTGTACTATAATGCCCTCATTATTTGTATTGATTGAATTGTGGGCCCTACAGAATCAATGAAAAGGCTTTTTTAATTACTCCAAATTGTAAATGTTGCTAATGGCTAACATGGCTGTCAGCTTATTAATAATAGTTAAACAGCTAGCTAATGTGCTGCATGATAGGTTAACATTTATGAAAACTGTTTAGTACTTAGATGTTGTTGACACAATACTTCTACTGACCTCTCAAAGTGCTTTAGTGCTTGTACAGCGCTTTCAGGTGACTGTTGTTTTCGATTTGATAAAACTGGATTGGATTGAAACTGCTGTAAACGTCAGGTACAGCTACTATTACTTTAGTTTTAGTTGAGTTTTACCTTGTTTTAGCAACATCTCAAGTAAAATTAATCAAAACTGAGCAGAGTTTAGTGGACACAGCATTAAACATCGTTTATACAAATATTGCACTTATAAGAGTGGTTTAACAGTTAATTCTATTCTTCATTAATCAGGTTTTAAATGTCAATGACATGTGTCCTTAAAGACGGCTTATTTTTAAATCAGATGTGTTTATACCAAATCTGCATCCATTCCTTCCTTTAGATGAGGCCGCACCTGCAGAGCCGCTTTCAGACCCCCAGGTGGCTCCACCACCACCACCATCTGATACTTCATCGTCTTCCTCTGATAAAGCAACACCTCCCCCTGAGCTCCCCAGGGAGAGCAGTACTCCCAACAGCAGTGCCCCCAGTGATGATGGGGGCAGCAGCAACAGCATGCCCCCTCCACCCTCAGACATCCCACCTGGAGCAGCAGCATCAGGCGCATTCCCAGACCCACCTGTAGGCCAAGAAGCCAACCTCAGTACAGCTAATCCTAATGAGGCCGCAGCACCAGCCCCTCCCTCAGAAGAAGCAACCCCTCCACCACCACCACCACCACCACCACCACCACTACTGACCCCCAGTCAAAGCAGCCAGCAGTACGATATGTAGTAGTGCTGCCTGTACAGTGATGGGTGTAGATGTCCTCCTGGTGCTGCAGCTCTCCCTCTCTGGATGGAGCAGCAGCGTTGTAGTGATGCAGAAGAAGTGGCTCTGTAACAGCTGAGAAATACTGATTGGTTGAGAGGTGTAAAAGTAAAGTCAATACAAAAAAAATAGTGCGAGAGTGACGTAGGTTTTCATCATCCAGCTTCATGTAGCTGCACCAAACGCAGGGAAAGTAGGATTTCCTTTAAAGCTCTGTATGCTTCCTGTAACTTTACTCAGCATACCTGGTCTGATAATCTGACTTAATTGAAACGTCACCAAAGAGTACAACACCTGGCCCTCTTTGAGTTTGTGCTCCAGGCACTGTGAGAGCATTTCCTCTTTTCTAATCAGGTCACTTGATGTTATTTTTTTTAAAGTAATCAGATACACACTCAGAAATAGGATAACACAGGGCTGTGAAACAACTGCTCAGCACAAACCGCACCACCGAGTCTGAAAGTCCATTTACTTTTATCATCAGGGTTTGTATCCCCAGCACTGAGGTCAGAAGTGAATCAATCTGTTAGTGAGACTGTTTTCTTTCTTTCTTCTTTTTTTTTTTTTTTTTTTTAGACTATAAAAAGGTTTAAAAAAAAACCAAACCTGAATCACGACTGACTTCAGAGTGAAACGGCTTCAGATGAACGAGAAAAAGCAGCCACGTGCCCCTTATAGTTCAAATAAACACCTGAGATAAGGCTTACTGTATAGACAGGATGTGGTTGAAACGCACACATCTGCATGCATTAAGCACATTAACAACCAGTCACAACATTGAAACCACCTCCCTGCTGTTGTCCACTTCATTACTGCAGTGTGAGTGTATCTATGATGTTGTGGTGCTGCAGCGGCCGAGCTTGTTGGTATGCAGCAGCGATTAGGTGAATCTCAACAACCAGATGAAGGCTGGTAGCCAAGTTTTCCCAGCACAACTGTGATGATCATCAGAGGTTTCAATGCTGTGGCTGTTACGCTCCATGTTTGTGTTTATTTTTTGGACCACTGCAGAGTTTTATTTTGTGATTCATTTTGAGAAACCTGACATATGTTAAAGGGCCAGCTCTGACAAAAGGACCTCAATATTTTCGGCTCTCACTTATTGAAAAACCTCAATTTTCTAGATAAATTTCATTTGCAGAACTACTACTGTTACTTTTTTGTCTTTTGAGATTTAGTGAACCTTATTAAACGAGTGTAATCCAGGGCAACCTTGGTAATTTGTAGTCTTGAATCAGATGCCATTTTAACACACACCCTTGTAAAGTCAGCATCAATTGATTTTTCCATATTCTGCATGTTTGGCTATGTACTAACCTTACCCATGTATGAATCTGAGTGCAGGTCTTGTATAGCTGGAGATGAGGAAAATTAAAGTTCAATACAAAACGCATGAAGATCCCAGCAAATAAATAATGATGGGATCATCTCCAGGGTATTTTTAAAAAATCTGAATAACATGTCTTGCTTTGAGTGTAAAACATTAACTTGGATATTTGTTCCCCTGTATTGAAGTCTAAGTAGAAAGAACTGACACTTGTACTCAGTTAATTTAATTTTTGCTCATTTAACCTGTAAAAGCTTCTCTGTGAGGCGAGGCTTTTGTTTAGACCACAGATTCCTGCTGGCACTACATGCATCTAACTTCACCAGAGAAATGCACAGGTAACCTCACTTATGCATTCAAAGGACTGTTTTCTTACTTGGACTGTTTTTTGGTAGTATGCCTGTCTTTTTTTTTTTCTTTTTTTTTGCATTTTTCTTTTCTACTGTCTGAACTTGTTGACCCAAATAAAGATGATTTGTCTTTCTGCTACACCTGCTGTGTGTTTTTTTTTTTTTGTTTGTTTTTTTTGTTTGTCTCCCGAAAGTAAGACTGGATAAGGAGGTTAGTGACAATTTCACTCTCGGAGAAAGATGTTAAGAGTGAGCCAGTGGGTTTTGCTAAGAGGAGGGCTCAGCAACTGATATAATCTGGTACCGAAAGCATATACAGGTCCTTCTCAAATAATTAGCATATCATGAAAAGGTTCTCTAAACGTGCTATTAACCTAATCCTCTGAATCAACGAATTAACTCTAAACACCTGCAAAAGATTCCGGAGGCTTTTAAAAACTCCCAGCCTGGTTCATTACTCAAAACCGCAATCATGGGTAAGACTGCCGACCTCACTGCTCTCCAGAAGGCCATCATTGACACCCTCAAGCAAGAGGTTTTCCCCCCAATTTCGCTATTTAAATAAACATTATATAATATCTCCAGCTGAAGCACAGAAATTGGGGACAGACTTATAAGAGCAAAGCCTGCAGCTCCACTGCAGGAAATAAGGAGGAAGTCTGACTGTTGAGGCTCAACTTTCCAAAGAGTTTCCACGGAGTGACGAACATTTTAAAAGCCTGGAATCAGAAAGTCTGATGTGAAAAAAAAAGTCAGATTACAAGAAATAAGAAGAAAACAGTTGGAGGACAAGGAGCTGTCAGCCTCAGGTGAGAAACCCACTGCCAAAGTTTCCAAGGAATTATACTGCAAGTGATGGTCAAAGTCATTTTTGTCATTTGTTCATAAGAAGGAATTATAAATGTAATCCTAAAGTAGTAAAATATTGATAAATTACAGATTTATGTGTATGCACTGTTAGTAAATGAGGTCCACTGAAATAACCTTACTCTTGCAAGACATATATGTATAGAATGATGCTCCAGAAATCTTTCAGTTCACACTCCATACAGCTGTTTTCTTACATTTACTGCAAATTAACCATTTACCTGTTATACCATCTATATGTCAAGCTTCCAGTCTCATATTCAGCTGTTGGAGGATGAGATCTTCGCTGTGGTATTGATGGTATTTTCCTGGGTATTGATATTGAACCTTAAATTCTAGCACATGATGACTCTACCTAAATCATGTAATAAATTCAATCTGCTCTTTGCTGTTAAATTCAACATCATTTTGGTAGTGTTCTTTACACACTGGCGATCCTTCTAACTGTACTGTCACAGAATTACTTGATAATGCCAAGTCATTTAACTAAGTGCATCTAGGTTTTATCTGGGTTTTAATCTTGGCCAGTCTATAAACTCCCTGCAAATGTCTGATTCATATGAAGGGAGTTTGGTCTGACCACAAACGTGTAATTTTTGATACAGCCAGTATTTTCTTCCCAGAAGAAAACCATTTAGTCTGACATTTTTAATGAACACCTGACAGCCAGGTTTTCAGCTCTCCTTTCTCACGTCCACATCACCACACCTACTTTTTTGGACATCTTGGTTAATTGGATTAATAGTATAATATAATACAGCGCCTAAATAGCCATTCACCTGTTACACCACCTATTTGTCAAGCTTCCTAGTCTCACGTTTTGGACATCTTGGTTAATTGGATTAATAGTTTATGCTCATGAATTCTCAATGGGGTAGAAGCCTGATTACCCCCAGCTGTCAACCCAAACCCCTGAATCAATGATCGTATCCCATCCATTATCATGGAGACACAAATCCCCAGGTTCACTACCTTCACATGAAGGAGTTGCTAACCACACTCAGCCTGGTTTGATTAATAATCAATAACAATAATCAAGTGGTAACTAATATCTTGGACAAATTCCAAGCTGGTTTCCAGTGAAACCACAGCACTGAAACAGCATTACTAAAAAATACTAATGATATTCTTATGCATTTTGGATAAATATAGTCCTACTAGATTTATCTTCAGCTTTTGTGAATGTGTGTGTGAATGGGTGAATGACTGAATGTAGTGCAAAGCGCTTTGGGTTCCTTAGGGACTAAGTAAAGCGCTACAAATGCAGGACATTTACCATTTTGACACCACTGATCATCCCACTTATCAACAAGTTACACAAGTGACATCAGTGGCAATGTTTACAGTTTTTAGCATACTCCTGGTGTTGTTGACCTCTGGCTTTGTGCTTTATGGATTCATGATTTGTTCTTTTGGATTTGTGATAAGTGAGTTTTGAATGCATAAATCCTGGAAAGTGTTCCCGTCCTGCCGTCAGCTGAGCTAACCCCCACTTTTTAAATGGCATTGCCAACTATAGTGCCATACTACGAGTGCAACATTGCAATCACTGCTACAGTTAGCCGATTGTGTTTCAGCCTTCCTCAGTTCTACATGATTTCATGTCTTCATTCACTTGGCTTCCTCTTTCTCTGACACCAAAACCGTTTTTTGACTATGGTATGCAAATAATTACAATCCAATGAATAGTACAGTGTTACATAGTGCTCAATGTTAAATTTAGACTTGATTTAATTTATAACATCCTCCAGCTCTGCTTCCAGTTATATGTTTAAATACAATAGGGATCACAAGTAGGAGTGAACTGCTCTATTAGGATGATATGGTACTAAGTAGTATTAACAAGATATGATGGGCTTGATTATTTAAGACCTTTTATGTCAGGAAAAGGGTTTTAAATTTGATTCTGGATTCAATAAGGAGCCCAAGAAGGAAAGGAGAAATCCATCCATCTATCTCTCCCTGCTCCCAGATGGCCAAACGCCTCACCCTATCTCTAAGGGAAATGCCAGCCACCCTTTGGAGAGAGCTCATTTCTGCCGCTTACACCCTCATTCTCATTCTTTCAGTCACTACCCAAAGCTTGTGACTATAGGTGAGGATGGGGACTTAGATCAAGCGGTAAATACTATATGTGTGTATGTGTGTATGTGTGTGTGTGTGTGTGTGTGTGTGTGTGTGTGTGTATAGACACATATATGTATATGTATGTATGTATACGTGTATATGTATATAG